GGGCTTCTACCTTTGCACTGTGTAAGGAGCGACCTCCTGCCATCCCCATGAACACCCCCTCCCCCCTCCATCTCCTTTTCTTCCTTTTCCTCTTCCCTTATATCCTCACTCTTTCTCTCCCTTTCTCTACCTCCCTCCCTCACACACACACACCTACACACACACACAACAAAAAACAAAAACAACTGCACACAAACACACACTAGCACAAACACGCAGTCGCGCACAAGCCGTTGCGGCCTGACTTGATCTGGTCGAATGTTCCCGGCTTTGTTGTTGCTGTACACTCTGCGAGCGCCCTAGACGACACATAGAAACTCGCGGGCGGAAACCCCAAAGCCGTAAACATGCATTGAGTGATTGGTTCTTGTGTCATGTCGATGTGTGTGTATGTGTGTGTGCCCGCGCGGTAGCGTGTGTGTGTGTACGTGAGCGTGCGTGTGTGCGTGTTTCTGGCTACCTGATTGGAAGCGAACGGTGGGTGCTTTCTGTTCGAGAGGCAAAGTTGAACGCCTGCATCGCGTAGCGGATGAGTGAAGTCGCGCGGAAAGCAAAGCAGGCGGTCCAGTCCTGGTTGATCCCAAAGTTGAAAGTTGAATACGGTCCGTACGATCGAAAGTGCACACGGTACCTGTATCACTGCCCCCCTCCCCCCCTTTCCAGTTCGCCCCAACGCTTGCTTGCCGCGTCTTCGATTGCACGGGTTTTATTTCAGTATTTTCCCCCACAAAATAAAACACAAAAATCCCTGCGCAGAGTTTTGCTATAAACATGGTCTGCAGAGTTCGGATCCTAATCTCTTTTTTTTTTACTTTGTTTGCTTGCAGGTGCGCTCTTGCTGCCGCTGTCACCGCCGCTGCTGCAACGACCCGCGACTGAGCGAGTGTGCGCGACGGACGAAACAGAAATAGTGCAAAGTTTGAAGTGCTAGTGCGCGTGTGTGTGCGTGTGAGTGCTCCTGTGCTCGCGGCCCGTTCTCGCGGCCTTTCGAGCGCCCCCGCGACGCCCGCGCCCTCCAACCCCCTGGAGCCCCTTGCGCCCCTCATCCCCTCCTCCGCCCCCCTCCGCGGGGCGTGTACCTCACTCCTTTTTGGAGCGTCCGATCGCAGGGGGAAGCCATCCCTCCGCGACGGAGCGCCACGATTGTCGGTAAAGCTGGCGACGAAGGGCCTCAGCCTCAAGGGCTTGGGCCTCAAGGGCCTGTCCGCGCTCAGCGTCAAGCAGCAGCAGCAGCTGCTCATCTCCGCCACCATGCTGCACACGCTCAACGCGCTCGCGGGCAAGATCTCGCCCTCGGCCGGGGCGCTGCAGCTGGCGCCCGCCTCGCCCGGCCAGCGCGCCGGCGAGAAGGAGGTGTACCACCCGTACACCAAGCCGGGCAGCCCGCCCCGCCACAACAACAACAACAGCGTCAGCAGCAACAACAACAACATCAGCAACAACAACAACATCGAGGACTGCAGCGGACGCGTGTCTCCGTCTGATTCTAGCAGGTGAGTGTCGTTTGCCTTTTCTTCCAACCAGTTAAATTGTCTTCAAATACAGTAGGCGCTCGCTATAGTTCCGCCTCCGGTTCAGAATTGGAGTGGGTGAGTGGGGTCGCCAGAGGCGGAACTATAGCGAGCGTCTTCCCCCACTCCTTCTCT